GCTATGGTCAGTCTTCTTCCCTTCTTAAAGGATACCTTTCAGCATTTCGTATAATACTGGTTTAGTGGTGATGAACTCCTTTAGCTTTTCCTTATCTGTGAAGCTCTTTATCTGACCTTCAATTCTGAATGATAGCTTTGCTGGATAAAGTATTCTTGGTTGTAGGTTCTTGGTATTCAGCACTTTGAATATTTCTTGCCATTCCCTTCTGGCCTGCCAAGTTTCTGTTGAGAAATCAGCTGACAGTCGTATGGGTATTCCCTTGTAGGTAATTGAGTCTCTTTCTCTTGCTGCTTTTAAGATTCTCTCTTTGTCTTTTGCTCTTGGCATTTTAATTATGATGTGTCTTGGTGTGGTCCTCTTTGGATTCCTTTTGTTTGGGGTTCTCTGCGCTTCTTGGACCTGTAAGTCCATTTCTTTCACCAGGTGGGGGAAGTTTTCTGCCATTATTTCTTCAAATAGGTTTTCAATATCTTGCTGTCTCTCATCTTCTGGCACCCCTATTATTCTGATGTTTGTACGCTTGAAGCTGTCCCAGAGGCTCCTTACACTATCTTCGTATTTTCGGATTCTTTTTTCATTTTGCTTTTCCGGTTGGGTGTTTTTTGCTTCTTCGCATTTCAAATCTTTGGCTTGATTCTTGCGCTCCTCTGGTCTGCTATTGGGTGTAATATTCTTTATTTCAGACCGTGTATGCTTAATTTCTAGTTGTTTCTTTATCATAGCATCGAGGGTCTCATTAGTTTTCGTGAGTCTCTCCTCAAGTTTATTGGCAGCTTCTAGCACATTTTTGCAAGCCCTCAAAATTGCGTTTTTTAGCTCTATATCCTCCATTTCTGTCATGTTTTTTTGTCTCCGCATTTTTTATGCTTTCTTGGTGCACCCCCTAGTGGTTTTTGTGCGCAGTCTTGTTCTAGTTAAGCCTTGATTGTTGTAGTTAAAACTAGAGGGATTTGACCACCAGGCCCTAGTAAATATGTTTTTAAAAGAATATACATGAATTCTTAAATCCACTTTCTTTGTGTTATTTCTGATGCTATGGTCAGTCTTCTTCCCTTCACACCCTACGGTTTTTGCACAAGGATGCCCATACATTTTGCTCCTGATATTAAGGATTGGCCTTGAAATAATTGGAAAGTATCCCAAGTTCACCATAGAAATCAGTGAAAACGCCAGGGGTGGGAGGCTAAAGAGACTTATACAAACCTAAGATGCTTGTGGTAGTATTTGTGTAGAAGAATGTTACAGCTCTTAACCTTAAAAATAATAAGAGGAAGTATTAATTAATATTGAGACGATTAGCCTAAACTGTGATAGCCTCTTTTATGTTCCTCTTTCTGTAAGATCAGTAGTTTCAACATAGTGTTGGACTTTTGGTGGTGTCATGGGACTTTTCCTGGCAGGTGTCCTTTTTACACCCCTTTCTAGTTCAAGAACCTGTCTGTGAGCCACTCCAACAGGCTGCACTTGAATATGTTTTGGAACAACTGTGTCAAGGTTATTACTCTGTGTACAATTTAAAATTAAAGTAAGCCACTATTATTCATGGGAAGAATTCAAAATTCATTTTTTAAATTCTGCTCCAAGAGGCAATTGGAAAAGTTGGGTCAAATCTTAGGGTCATGATTGATTATATACGAGTCAGGCAGTCTTGGATACCAAGCACAGACGTGTAATATACCAAGTATCAGTCCTGGTTAGTTTCTCTCATTTGGTTCCCATAACGTGGGTCATCGAAGGAGTCGAGTACAGGTTCTATTCTGCCATACCTCTTTACCTCCTTCAAGATTAGCAGTGCTAACTTATAAAGCTTTATTTTTTAATTACAGAAATAACTCATTTATACTGTTAAAACATCAGAATACATTAAGGCCGAAAGCCTATTCTTTCACCACCTGCACTGGTTTTTACTCTCCAGTGGTGCAGTCCTATTAACAAAGCAGAAAGTAAGACTTTTTCAATACACTGACCAATAAGAAGCTAAATTCAGTGGCATTCAGAACACATATGGAAATATCTAACAGGGATTAGGGATGTTATTATCGTTGTGCTCAATTTGATTATTATGATACAGTTTTTTTTAAAATAGTGAAATTGTAAAAATAGCCAAGTGAGGTTTCAAAAAGTAAAGAGAGCCCATGAGATAATAATCACAAACTTTGATAAACTATAAACAAAAATAGTACAGTAACATCTTCACTGTTTGGAACCTTGGAAAAGTTTATATAATTTCTACAAATTTTATATTTTCTTGCCTTTTTTGAGGAATTTTAAATACAAATTTTATGGGGGACAGGAGGATTTTAATCTGCTCTACTTCTTAATTATAATGGATTTGTTTTAGTGTTTTGGTGACAACTGAGTCTCTTTTTGTGAATGTCGGTTACTGTCCTGTGTTTAAAAGTGGCTGATGCTTTCAGGACCTTTTAGTGCATGTAAGACTTAGATGCCTGAAATGACCCCAACATCATCTTGCCTTCCGATGCCCTTGTGTTAGAGTATATTGTACAGTCACGTCTGTGCTGTGCCACTGAGCGATGTGGTGGCCGTGAGCAAGGCATTTGGGCTCTCAGTGTGTGCGCTCTCATCTCCACATGGTAAGCGGTGTCTGCCTGGCACTGTCTTTATAAGGCTCATGGAGTGTGCTTAGAGGGCTCACCTGTCACTTCTTAGAAGCCACACTGAAAGTGTCATGGGTGTCAGGGTGGCCCTTAGGGGTAAATACAGGCTTCACTGCAGTGCCAAGAACGTGAGAATACCCAAAGGTTCCAGATATACAAGCTGTGACTACAAAATGAGCTCATAAGGTAATCCTACAAACTGGAGACTGAACAAAGGGTATAAAAGTGAGTGAGGGTTGAAGTCAGGCAAGGAGGCCATTCAGAAAATGAAAGGTTTTCATTGGAAAAGGCTGGGTGTTTTAATGTTAAGAGACCCAAACAAACATTATAGTGACGTTACTCATTTAAAATGGTTGCATAGTCACTGAGTAGTTACAGTATTTATGAATCAAGTTTTTATTCCCATGGTCTTCTAAGTATCCTGTAGGCCTTAATACCCTTGCCCTGCTGCACGCAGTACAGGAAGTAAGGGAGCCAGAGTTGCCCACAAAGTGGTTTGATTCAGGCTTGGGCATGAGGGGACAGAGCTGAAAAATATAACCTGGCACCTGCCCTCCAAAAGTGTCTAGTTGGGGAAGATAGCTACCTGTTCAGAGCACCAGGAAGTGCTGTGTGGCTAGCTCAGAGTAACACATCTGCTCTAACTTGGAAAGAAGGAGAGGCCTGTAGAAGAACCCTGAGCAGAAGGTGGACAGTTAAGGTTGGAAAGAGGAGCCAGAGGGCTCGGTGGGAAGAGGTGGTGATCCCAGCGATGGAAGCCCTGTGGGCATGCCCTGGGCGCAGGCTGGTGTGGGCCAATGGTCTCAGCACCTTCCGTCTCAGGACCCTTCACACTAGGGAAAAGTATATAGGATTCCAAAAAGCTTTTGTGATGTGGGTTTAGCTACCAATATTGACCACATTTGAAATTAAGCCACACAAAAAAGGTTTAAACATTATTCATTAATTCATTACTAAAATGACTAACCTATTGCATGTGAACAGAAATAATATACTGTTATGAAAATAGCCATGTTTTCTAAAACAACTCTAATGAGAGAACAGCAGTTTTTTTGTTTTTGTGGTGTGTTTTTTTTTCAAATCTTTAATGTCTAGTTTCATAGGAGATAGCTGGATTCTCCTGGGTGCCTCTGAGTTCCATTTGGGTTGAAGTGTAGGAAGGCTTGACTGGGAAGAGGAGTATTTTAATAGCCTGTTCAGATTGTTGTGGATGTTTTCTTTGATATTACACCAAAGCTTAACAATAGGTAGTTTCTTGAAGGAACCTGCAATGTGGAATCTAAAACCATATTAATAAGCTGTCTGTACATTTCATCACATTAAAATCCAGAGGACTATCTTGCACTTTGAATGGCTCTTTTGTCCTTGAATGATATTGAAACACCATTTATTGATCCCTTGGAAAATACTGGTCACTGAGTTACACAAATCTTCTAAGACAGTTGGCAAATCATGGATAGATTTCACTGCCTGTATCAATAAACCCCATTGTTAGTATCCCCCTGATCTCATCCTCATCCCGGGGAAGCTGTCAAACTCGCCCTGGCAGATAGCTTTCCAAGCTTCCCGGAATTCTGGAAAGACATACAGAGCTCCATTACTTTCCAACCCTACATTGACCCTCTAGACCTATTTCTTAATCTTGTATCATCCTAAAGGATAAATGGAATCAATGTGTAAAGACGTGGAAAGCTTTTAGATGGTACCTGACCCAGGTAAGCACTCAGTAAATAGTAGTGATTGTTGTTATTTGCACTTTTCTGTGTCGCTGTCATCATATGTAACATGTGTTGACCATAGCCCAAAAAGAGGAGTGAAAGGTGCTTTGTGGAGCACCAGGGTACAGGCTCCTGCTGGGTGTGTGCAACAGCTCATTTGGGCAACCTTCAGACTTCCCCTGTAGGTTACAGCAGCAGCAGGCCTGAGGGAACATCTTTCGTCTTTCGTGTGACCTTTTCTTACCTTGCCTGCACCTGTGACCAGTTGTCATGTTGGTGTGAATGTCCATGCCCCTCACCGCCTCCTCCTCATTTGCCTCTTGTTCCATTGCTCACATGGTACTGGCATGTGGTGACTGGTGCTCAGATAATATTCAAATGAATGCATTTAGAGGGAATTGGTTTTTAACAGCACTCAACGTGGTTTTAGACTGAAGAAGTATAGAAATTTTATCATATGAAGCATATGATCTGAGCAGTGACTAGTGTGTTTTTTTCTTCTCGTTTATTTAAGGAATATTTAACCTCTATTCACCGCATCCCATCTCTTTTTTTCTTGAATATCTATTCAGACTAAAAATAGTAAACAGCTTAAAGTGTTTCACAGTAATTTGGGGTTAAACATTTTTGTGATCAATATACTTTGCTTTCTGCTTTTCAGATGTTCCTCCTCCTGAACAAGAGAAGCTTTTTATCCAGAAGTTACGTCAGTGTTGTGTCCTCTTTGACTTTGTTTCCGATCCACTAAGTGACCTAAAGTGGAAGGAAGTAAAACGAGCTGCTTTAAGTGAGATGGTGGAATATATCACCCATAATCGGAATGTGATCACAGAGCCTATCTACCCAGAAGTGGTCCATATGGTAAGTGATTGCAGCCTAACCAGCGTGTCCCAACCTTGAGCTACGCCAGGACTCTGACATCTTAGAATAAGCTGAGATACTGGAGCCTAACACAGCCCTTCCCCCAAAAAAGTCCTCCTGTTCCAGAGTTTGTACTTGCACCTTGAAGAATGGAAATCTTTGCAATGTGCCCTGGATTATCGTGATGATAACAGTGAGGGAAATAGGGTGCCTTCTAGGGACCCATTGAAGAGTTCATTTATTTAATCCTCACAGTCACCAAATGGGGTAGAAATGTTAGAATTTTTATTTTTACTTACTATGTTATCCTCTTTAAATTTTTGTGTGTGTTTTAACATACATAACCTTAGTTTAATAATGCCCATACATAATATAGAAGTAAACATGTTCTCCATACATGTTCAGGAAAATTCTAGTGGTGGGTTCAGTGCAGATAGTGATAGGACCCAGCTGGTATCAGGATAGTCCATCCTGATTGGCTGAGCTGGCCTCCATCTGTCAGTGCCATGTCAAGACACACCCAACTCTGTCCTACAGTTAACGAATGGCTGGTTTCATTCAGCCCCCAAATCTCAGTCCTCTGCTGTCTCCCACTTTACAGCCTGTTTCAGGTTCTTTGCATTGTCTCACTGTGACCTCAGTGGGTACCACCTGGAAACATTTCATACGAGGCCTAAAGTTATTAAAACTTACTGTTTGGCACTGAACTCATTTCTCATTCTTTTTGAATTATTGGTATTTTATCTGCCTTTGAAATTAGTAGTCCTCAGTTATTAGGGAGTCCTTGTTGCTTAAGATAAAATTTTAAATTCTTATTTTCATTGAACTCCTTACATTCAGTGATTCTCTGCCCCCTCCCCTCGCCCAAAGCTATATATTTCAGAATTGACTAGACTTGTTGACCTAAAATGTGTTTATTTCTCACTTTTGTATGTTTGCTTTGGAAAAGAAGATGAAAGTAATGTTCTTTTTGTAATTCACAATCTATTATGTCAGGAATTGAGATCAGCTCGATTATCCTATATAATAAAAGGGTAATACAGTAGGTCCTCGGGGTACGTCGAAGATCCGTTCCTACGGCTCGATGTAACCCGATTTTCGCCGTAAGTCGGAATCATCCAACATCAGCACCTACGTCACTCACATGGAGCACATACACAGCAGTAATGAAGTGAAACAGTAAAAAAAATTTAAAAGAAAGAGAACAATTCCTGACCTTTACTTGTAGTAAATAAATCATAAAAAACATAAAGCACATATGTACATACGTTGAAATGATGGAACTTTTTTTATTTTTATAAATAAATGGGAAATGGTGACGTAACCACAAAATGATATACGTCGAGTCCAACATAACCCGAAGACTGTCTGTATGCAAATCGAACAAACAGGGCAACGACCAGTAGTTATGACACGCATTGACCACCAGGGGGCAGACACTCAACACAGGAGCTGCCCCCTGGTGGTCAGTGTGCTCCCATAGCGGGAGCACCGCTCAGCCACAAGCAGGGGTGATGGCTGGCAAGTGCAGTGGTGGGTGGTGGGAGCCTCTCCCGCCTCCGTGGCAGTGCTAAGGATGTCCAACTGATGGCTGCTGGACCGTGAAAGGGCGCAGGCTGGGCTGAGGGACCCGCCCCCCCAGTGCACAAATGTCATGCACTGGGCTCTAGTTTTAATATATTATTGTTAACTCTTTAAAGTTCCAAATTTATCAGTGTATTGTCAGACTAGGGCTGTGAAGGCCGAGTAGGTTCCTTCCCCAAACTCACACCTGAAGAATAGTCACAGGTACATACACTGAATGGTAAATACTCTAAAACCTTACTTACCCATTTACATTAAGGAAAATTGGGGAATATCTTTTTCTCTTATTAATTTCAATTCTCAATTACTTTGGAAAGCCTCCCAAACTCCAGAATCACAAAGAAAAATCTCTGATATTTTCTCCTCAGACTGTTATATTTTCTTGTTCACAATACACTTTATAATCCTCCTGGAATTTTTTTTTTTTAGATAATACTGTGACTTTTATTTATTTTTTTAACCTTTAACATTATTTATTGTGGTATGTAGCATACATACAAAAAGGTAAATATAAATACATACATAGTTTAAAGAATAACAAAATAAGCATCCATAGACCTACCACCTGGCTTAAGAAGCAAAATATTGCTAGGGCCTATGAAGATTCTTTATACATATAGTATTACATATGTCTCCTTTTTCCCCTATTGACCTCTCCTGTCCACCCCCACCTCCCAGCCCATTCCCTCACCCCTCTAATGTCTGGATCCATTGGTTATGCTTATATGCATGCATACAAGTCCTTTGATTGATCTCAAA